GCACAATAAGAGGAAGCTCGTAAAGCTGTGGTGTATCAGCTTCAAGAAGCAATGAGTTGAACAACTTTCTACAATGTGCAGTACATTGTTTGCTGTTTGAAAAATGACTCAGCGACTCGGTGACTCAGCGTTGGTGCAAGCTGTTTCAGGATTATTTACGAAGAGGAGTCCAAACATAGAGTCAAAGGTGTAGGTCAAATCTTCACATGTATGGACAGCGTATTTAACAGCCTTGTCAGTGCTGGTAACATCACTTTAGCGCAATAAACTGGTAGCAACAGAAATGACTTCAAGTTTTTAAGCTAAATTGATGATGTCTCTAAAAGGCTTCAGTGATAGTTTAGGCATCCTGGATTCCTCTGTTAGCCACAACCAACCAAATTACCGTAATTAACATCCAAGCAATATCGAGGCATTCGTATAGGAGCTCGATAGAGGTCGAACAGTTCGATTCAATAAAACAACGGGGAATTACAAGTATATCAATAAATGATAATATCTAATACCCGTTGTACAAAAAGTGGCTATCGTGCCTGTGTGGCATGGTGGATAACGCCTTGGCGTTTGAAGCGATGGCTATTAGGTCCGAGTCTCAGTGGGAACAACATCACTCACTGGGGTGCAAGCATATTTAGCTGACGAGTCCCAAATAGAATGAAACACGCGTCCTGGATTTCTCCACTAACCACAACCAACCAAATTATTCTAAGTGAAAGCGGTTTCTCTGTTGTTGGCAAAAATGATAGGCGGTAGGGTCATACTAGAAAGATGACCTAGGTACTGGTAAGACTTTAAAATCTTTTCAAGCGTCAGACATTGTATTTTGGGAAAGTGGTGCAATAAAAAAGACTTTATCATGATAAAACAAAATGCTTCCACATTTTCAAAATATAATTCCTGAAACATTATTATAACTAGGCTTTGGGATTAATTCAATGGTTTAAGATATTTGAAAACCTCATTTTTGTAAAAACCATGAGAAAAATTCACTCAGTGGTAGTAGGTACGGTAAAATCAGCTTACTGACATGAAAACGACTGATTTCAGGTACATATATCCGAACAAGCTTCATTAGTTCTCTGTTTTCCACCAGTAAATTCTTTAAATAGTTTCCATGTATTACTAGGGTTCCCACATAATAGGAAAATGTGGTTATATCTCACGTTAAGATATTTTATTTTGGATATTATTACAAGGTTTACGCTTCTTATGTAGTCCACTTGACAAGAAGAGATACCGTCAAATCTTTGAAAGCGTTTTACTTGAAAAACAAACGTGAACACAGAATATGAAATTACAGGTGACACTAATGACTTTCTCATCCAACACCTCATTCATAAATACACCCTAGTCTTTGGCGTGTAACATATGTATGCTGGTGCTTTGTGTCTAACTGGGCTACTAAAATAGAATACTTTACAGTTTTGACTCCATCCTTTCCAAACTAACCCGGCAGATGTTCCCGTATCCGGAGGTACACCTGCATAATCGTACGTCCTGTAGAATTTGTTCCTCAGGAACAGTGAAATTTATGTAAGATGAGGAATGAAGATTAAGTGGACTATCCTTTGATCTAGGATGAAGCATTGGTCGACCACTAAACGATATGCAGAGAAGACGGTGATGAATTTCACAAAATATCCATTTTCACTTAGAAAATTATGGGTACACAGTATTTCTTTTTCTACTCACTCCATAAAACAAATCGATCTTATTTTATATGCTGAATATCTCGTTATATCACAGTTATGTTTAATCGGAAAGAAGCTGAGAAAGTGTGTATTCTCTGCCTCAGTCGTCGGTTTTCTATATATACTTCTCATTTTGGAACAGTCTTCTTTCATGGTCATTACTGCATTAAGAAAATGTATAGAATCATTGATTTTAATTTGAAAGTAACTGATGGCTGATTGCTGTTGAAATGATTCAGAACAGAATTATTGTGAAGAAACTTAATAAAGACTAGAAAAATACCATCCATATATTCAGAGTACAAAATTGTATTAGTAATTTGATCTTCCAAAGGACTTTTGTTCAGTTTTGACAAAAATTTCTCCGCAAACATAGTCCCTAATGCAGATGTAAAACCTAGTCCATCATCATGTAGCTTAAAATGAATTGCACGTGGCTTAGTTTTCACTGTCGCTATGTTCATAACAGCGTACTTTGCACAGAACAGTTCAGATTCAGAGTAATTATGTATTAGCATAGTCCTTCTTCGATTCCATAGAAAAAATAATTGTGAGAAAAATATTAGGTGCAACTCAAGAAAAATCCCCATACTTTTCCTACAAAGTGAAAACACAAATGTCCGCTAGTCATTAATGTCGTCGTTATCATCATCATCATCATAAAGATCAACGTGCGATCAGGCAATACTACGCAAAGGTAAAAGTTAACACACCTCATTTCAACACATCAACTTACAAATCAATCAATAAAATGGAAGATGAAGAACGAAAGAAAATCACTCAGAACAAGTAGACGTAGAAAGTATCAAAAGAGAGGAAGGAGCAATAAGAAGGTGATCAGACTCAGTATAGTGTTCAGGGCGTATGCATCTGCGCCACTGACATCAGTTCTGAGCCATATCACATCGAGTCTCCAACCACTGGTTTCGCTTGTCCCACAGACCCTAACCAACTAGTCTGTATTGCTCTACATGGCTGAAACCAACTGACATGGATTTCATGCATTGATGCCATGTTTCAGTCTGACCAACCCGAGTCATTTCTCAGTCTGTACCTGCTTCAACCAACATTATGTGATGATTTCAGTAATGCAAAAATTCCCATTTAGACATTGAGTAAAACAAACAATGTGAACGAAAAAATATTTTTTTTCAATTAGTTCCTCATCAATGGCTCTACACTAATATAGCATTTTCAAACGTAAAATTACATACCAATCTAGTGGTGAGAGTTGTTCAATGAAAGGTTATCAATCTCAAAGTTTCAAGAAGGTGATAATTGATCAGGTAATTAAGACAGTTAACTGAAGCAAAGATTAATTATCGTAGAAAGATTTTGCGAACAGGTTCTTACATAATTGATATTTTATATAATGATAACTAAAGAGCAAAAATGAACTGTTACGTAAAATGGTAAATTGTTGACGGTAATTAGAGACAGTAGGGGGAGAGAAAGATGATTAAGTCTGTAATAATAATAATAATAATAATAATAATAATAATAATAATAATGGAGCTATTGAAATATTAGTTATAGTGAATTGTGTGGTGGATGAAATGAAGAGTCTTGTTGTAATAAATGAGCTATACAGATGGCCAAGGCAAAGAAAGAGGCTGTACGAATCTCTTCTGAACACACAGACTTGGCTTGTGTAGGTGGATTCCTATGGCTTCTGCTGTATGTAAAAGACGGACTCGTAGAGGATGGGTGAGGTGAGAAGGAATGTGATAAATAACTTTAAAGGCATTATGAATGTTAACTCCGTGGCCAGTGTCAATCAGATGAGAGAGTATTGAGCTTCGTTTCAATCTGGTTTCCTCCTTACTTAGCCATGAAGGATGATGCTCGGCGATTCGACGACGGACTTGCCTAACTGTACGTCCAATGTAACTAGCTCCACAGGAGCAGTTGAACTGGTAAATGCACATAGAAGAGGAGAAGTCAGGGAGTCTGTCTTTAGTTCGTGTGGTCATCATTGGCCGGCTGTAGAAAACACAACATAACTTGGCGGCATTAAATGATCTTCTTATGGCATTTCTTAAGCGTTGTGTCACAATTTCGCTGATCATGTCACCTCGAAATTGTAGTCTTAGAAACAATGGTTTCTTGGAGACTGTAGGCATTCTGGTTTTCATATTGGATGTGTTCATATTTTTAGCCAGGAACGTTTCTGGATATCCATTACTACTGAGTAGATCGTGGATAATTTGAAGCTCTTCGTCAAAACTATCATCTGAACAGATGAGTCTCACCCGATGGACTAAACATTTAACGAGATTTCGTTTATATTGCAAGGGGACGAAACTCAAGAAGTGAGTGTACTGACCTGTTGACGTGTGTATCGGAAACCTGTTCGCAAAATCTTTCTACGATAATTAATCTTTGCTTCAGTTAACTGTCTTAATTACCTGATCAATTATCACCTTCTTGAAACTTTGAGATTGATAACCTTTCATTGAACAACTCTCACCACTAGATTGGTATGTAATTTTACGTTTGAAAATGCTATATTAGTGTAGAGCCATTGATGAGGAACTAATTGAAAAAAAATATTTTTTCGTTCACATTGTTTGTTTTATTATGTGATGAGTTGGACGGCAGCTAGGCATATGTGACACATGTCCCAACCATCTCAGTCCACCAAGGTTCACAACTGCATCAAATATCTTACCTCTCTTCTGCAAATCTCTACGCCTAACTTCTGAGTTACTCACATGGTGGAACCACGAAACACCGCCTATGTTACGAAGGTAGCAGTGGCCATACACCTGAATCAATAAATCAGAGTAAGAACGCATTATTGTTCAGCAATATGTTAAGAATCAGAAACATAGTTGCATAATTTAGTGTTTTTCAAGTTAGAAAATGGTTTTGTTTGGATTTCTATCAAAATCAACATTCAACTCTTTCATAACTTCATACTATACTATATTTACAAGGTGATGCGCATATATGATCGAGAACATTGTTTCATACAGTTTGCATACATCTAAAAATAACACCTGACCAAAGCAATTAATATAAGTGCTCTAGAATTACAATGGTAAATTCTGATTTCAATCTGTTTAATAATTTTCTAGATAAGAATCGCTTATAGGGATAATCCACTTAAAGGTTGATCTTGTAAGGAAATCTCTGGTGTTTACAGAGATTACAGACTAATAGTACTTCAGAGGTATTGATTAGCCTGACACCTGTTTACAGATTACATTCATTTTATCAACGTGACATTGAACAAGTTTTATTTACATTTATAGGTGAATACATTGAACATGCTAAACTATTTTCTTGAGAAATTCCTAAAAATGGCATCATTTGACTTAATCTTCAAAAAAACATAAAACACACAAGGTTCGTAAGAAATTGTCATAAGATTTGGTATATTTATACAATTTAATTATACGACAAGTGTAATCTGTTCTAACTTTAACTAAAATGGGCACAGTAGAATGACAATTTTCAGTTATCAGGTGACACTTGTTGTATGCATTTATACACACAGTGACCTTGACGAATCGACCAATCATTGATGAACTGTGAATTTAATTCCTAAGTATATTTTGGCACCTAAACAGAGAGTTATTTTATCACGAAAAAATGCTGAAGTCGATTGCAAGTAAGTTACTAACTTATAATTTTTAATGTCTGAATAAATAAACGAGGTATTTCGAGTTAATATTCGTTTCAGTTTATGTATAGAGGTTCTATTGTTTAGAAATTGTCTTACTTTCACAACAGTGGACTGATATAGAATGAAACTAAAATGATGGTATATTGGATAGACATCAATCTGGTAAATACGATATGCATTTGAAATCTTTTTTCAAACCTTGTGTAATCACCTGTGATGTAATACAGGCCGACTGACTCAAATCAAATAACATCCATCAAAGTGCACTGCGGTGATTAACCTCGTAGTTTGATAGGAACTTGCTAAATGATCGATAGAATTCGGTCGGAACTCAGGAGTACACAACCTGAAGTTGGTTGGTCTTTAGTGACCAGTCAGTTTATGTGATCCAGTTGTACAAGAATTGATTCGCAACAGTGGTAACATCACAGACTACTACACAAAGTGAAGCGTGTTTCAACACCAGAGGCGATATCTGTTTCCTCATGGTTGCGGATAGGTCATAGCGTCTGTTAAAAGTCTTCTGGGCGCCCTGAATGGCGATTTGAGAATGTTTTGGATGAGTTCCCCACCACCCAAATACAGCTTGTTACTCCAAGACTGGTCTTCAACTGTAACCCAACTAACAATAGAGAGTGAAATGGTTGAGCACGTTGAACATTCTACTCACTAGAGAAGTCAGATCAATCCTCGTGCGTTGGTCAGTGGCCGACGAAATCTCTACACGGATACGAAAGGCACGGTTGACTCTTGCTAAACTATTCCACTAGTGGCACCGCCACGATGTCCGATTGTCTAGTAAGAGTCTAGTGTACTGTTCTGCTATATGGCTGTGAAAATGGGCACTGAAGGTATAATACATGAGAAGGCTTTAGGTGTTTGGCCACTGCTGCCTTCGTAACATAGGCGGTGTTTCGTGGTTTCACCACGTGAGTAACTCAGAAGTCAGGCGTAGAGATTTGCGGAGGAGAGGTAAGATATTTGATGCAGTTGTGAACCTTGGTGGACTGAGATGGTTGGGACATGTGTCACATATGCCTAGCTGCCGTCTACCTCATCACATAATGTTGGTTGAAGCAGGTACAGACTGAGAAATGACTCGGGTTGGTCAGACTGAAACATGGCATCAATGCATGAAATCCATGTCAGTTGGTTTCAGCCATGTAGAGCAATACAGACTAGTTGGTTAGGGTCTGTGGGACAAGCGAAACCAGTGGTTGGAGACTCGATGTGATATGGCTCAGAACTGATGTCAGTGGCGCAGATGCATACGCCCTGAACACTATACTGAGTCTGATCACCTTCTTATTGCTCCTTCCTCTCTTTTGATACTTTCTACGTCTACTTGTTCTGAGTGATTTTCTTTCGTTCTTCATCTTCCATTTTATTGATTGATTTGTAAGTTGATGTGTTGAAATGAGGTGTGTTAACTTTTACCTTTGCGTAGTATTGCCTGATCGCACGTTGATCTTTATGATGATGATGATGATAGTGATAATGATAACGGTTAACTTTAGGTAGGGAATCGTAGAGAGATTGAAAAGTTAATTTGTTATTCGTGCTTCTTTCAAAGCACAGCATTACATCGGATGACATTATATTTACGGATATGATTAAATATATTCATCTCAGTCATTAAATGTCAACGGATTGTTTCCAGTTGATTCATCAATAGCTTTTCCAGTAGTGTAGTAATATGAAATAACTGAAATTTATCAGTAACTCATGTATATTGGTTAAAATTGTAACTGGTTATTTGGTGAACTACTTTGTTAGATGTATGTGGGTTTTCTAGGTACATTGGTAGACTAAACTTTTCTTGTTGTTAAACCTCGTTAACTGGTCTTCTTTAAGTTTGAAGGACTATGAAAGTGATGTATCATGTAAACGCTTGATTACTATGAAAATTTATTGTGATCCGATAGAAAGGTTCTGACAATGCCCAAGTTCAAGAATGCACCTATCACCTTACTCAAGCATATTTACTAATTCATGTAATCGTATTTTATTTCGGTTTATTGAATTAGTCGTTCCACACTGACCAACTGTGGAGCTAGTGAGATTTCTAATTATCTATCAAATGACAAGTATCATGCGTTGCATCCCATTCTGTCCTGTTATACGGCTGTGAAAAATGGCCTTTGAAGGTTGAAGACATGAATCGATTAGAGGGTTTTAACCACAGGAGTTTTCGCAGCATTTCTCATGTCTGGTGGAATTAGTGTGTGATTAATGTTGTGGTCAGATGAAGGGTACTGAGCATGACAAGTAAGTCGGTAAGTTATGAGCCTTCGTCCGTTGACATGGCTGGGACTTAGACTGCACATTTTGAGTGACCGCCTACCTCCGCATGACATGCTAGGAGAAGCTAAATTAGGTTCGAGTAGGGTTGAGGTTGGGACTAGTGGACGTAGTCCCTGACCGTTGGTCTGAGTCGTGATGGGAGATCAAGACTACCTGTTCGACGTCCGGGAGATGATAGGAATCAATGATTGAGGTTTCTTAGTGATATGGCTGAAAATCGGTTGCAATGGTGCATATGTATTCACTCCTTGAAATCTTCTGTAGCTTGAATATTCATATTTGCCGTCATCTTTAGTTTGTTTATTCTCTTACATAACTTTATCTATTTTGATATCCAGTTTTCTATCCACTTGTCCTTTTGTACCATTGTTAAGTGTAGCAATTTCATGCGATGAACTTGTGTACCAGGTTGTACGTTGATTTTGTCAGTCGGTCAGTCAGCCACTAGTATGATGACTTTAACTTCATTCAAGTAATTTATTTTTATCTATACAAGTATCTATAAGTTTTACTGCATTTCTACAAAGACTAGTGACTTTTACATGAAGCAATTCCTATATATGTCGGAATAAAGCTTGATGCTTCCTCAACAATCCTTGTTAAACCAGTTTCTATCAAATGAGTATCCAATACTCAATGAAATGCAAGTCTGTTTGATACAGCTTTTCAGGAAGTTGTTTATTTGTACTCCCAGGGCAATAGGCACTAAGACGTATACTTGGGTTTCAGATATTTTGGCACTCATCAGAAAGGTGTGTCTATTTACTCAAAAGAAATGATGTCTCATATGGGATTCAGTCCCACATAAGACATTGCTGGAAACAAAGATGTTACTATTGAGCTGTTAAGGTCACTGGTTGTCAGGAGTCTGATTTTATACAATGATTCACGGAATGCATATGACACCTGGTCGTCTTACACACAGAAAACATATTACTTCGAAAAACTGTTTTTCATAAGTAATTGAGATCTCAAGAGTAACATTATCAAATATTTCTCACATTTGTGGAATAAATACTTATAATATTTGTCTTGCCTTCTATGAGGCTTAGTGTTTTGCCACAGACGTTTCATCAATAGGCTTAGTAACATCTTCAACACTTCATCAAATGTTCTACATCAAACTGTTCCTTTTCTACTTGTTTTAATCATTCAAATGTAAACAATTTGTAAAACGTACTCATGCACTAGCCTAAAATGCCTTTAATCTATCGTTAGACAAGTTAACAATAAAATTACAAGGAAATATCAAAGTAGATGACAGTGGGTCCTCAAGCATACAAGAGTATATCAAGTAGCTGGAACCGTGAATTTTCATACAAACAGAATGAACCACCGCTACGGAACTGATAGATGCTTCATAATATCGTGAAAGCAATAAATCTGTTCAAATGTGACACTAAGAATTTCATATAGTATTGAGTGACATTTGGTTGACAAAATCAAAATAGAACCATGCACAGGAATGTATTAGTTCAAGTTGCAACACTTCATAGAAGTACACAGAGAACAGGTAGATAAAAAAAGGAGTGATATCAAAGTAGATGAAATGTGAGAGAAAAAACTATCTAAAGATGAAGGTTAGTGTGAATATTCAAGGTGTGAATACATCTGCGCTATTGTGACCGATTACCAGTGGTTGAGGACTCCCTCAGCCACTAATTCCTTTCTTTTCGAGGACCCCAACCCATACTATACTAGAAATTATTGTCTGCAATAAAGCGATTATTATTGTTTATGAAGTCGGTACTAAGGATGTCATCAAGTTTGGTAATGGAACGGTTTTGAAAAATACCAAAGTTCATGGAAGAAAAAACCACTATCATCCTTATCCTGAGGTACGAATCCTTTCCATCATTTTAAAAATGCAAATTTTTTCACTTGAAGAATAAACGTCCAGTCTTGATATTAGTCTGTTTTTCAATGAAAGTAATCGTCAGTAAATCGCAGTGTCATTTTAAGGCTCCACGCCACTTTATATCTGTTACCTTAGGCTTGAAATTAGGTTCAGTATTGTCAAACTGCACTTGGAAGACTACAGTTTATTTGCTAGTTACTATCTCATCGAATGATATTTTTGATTGACAAATAGTGATACTGTGACGAAACAGTTGTCCAGTGCTCCCAAGTGTTCACTGGTTCTCTAAATGATGTCAATCGATGATGAATACTACCTCAAAAAAAAATCTCCATTATCCTCAAAATTCATTATTGTATAATGCTCATTAGTGACATGCTTCTGGATGAATATCCCTAATTTGTAATGAAAAACTATGGGATCAACCATTTGGAAGGAAAGTGGATGCCAATTGAAGACCTTGGGTGATAGCCACACTATATTGCAAATTGACAGAATTTTGGAAATTGTGAAGCATTAAACTCAGTGGCTGAATGGTTAACGCTTTCGCCGTGAAACCTGAAAGTCATGAGTTCGATGCGTAACCGGGTCATGAGTGCCTACTGGTGAGGTGTCCAATACGAGGGTGAAACGGCTGTTCAGTGCCCCGAGGTTTTGAATAGTACTTCAAACGACGTCAGTCTATGATGAATATTACCTTAAAAATAAGGTCTCTATAAGTTTCCAACACAGTAGTGATATTGTTAATCTTCCATTTATGGGTGCATGAATGAATTCTCGTATCTCCTAATGACACTGCATTGTCGATTACATGGTACTACGTAATCTTACCCTGAAAAGGTGACTAACTAATTGAACATTTCGGTATGTCATCTAATTATCCACTTAGCACTTTAATATAAAAGTAAAAAGTTTAGCTACTTAAATGTTGTTAAAGAGTAGTACGAATAGTTTTTGACGACCACTGATTGGAAAGACTATTTTTGGTGACATAATTGAAATTTAAGATTGATGATTTGATTTACATCGAAAGTTCTTCAAAATTTCCTAACATTGTTCTTTATTTCTTAAGCTCCTTATTTACCGATTCATGATGATGGGACAGCCAAACGTTTGTATAATCACTTCAATTTTCTGGGTATACCTGTTAACAAAGGACAACCAAAAAATGGCACATATCAGGGACCAGAGTTTATTCGAAAATCTGATTTCTTCGAACGTGTTGCTCAAGATGGTAAGCCTCTGAACAGCGTTTTTATTCTTCTAGTTAAGTGATCAAAAAAATAAAAGCCAAGAGTTATACCAAAGTTTGAACATATATGTATGACTTCCAGTGATGTTAGACAGTATGTTTGAAACGATTACAGAGTTACTGAGTAATGTAGTTTGAATTGAAGTTAGAACTCACATGAAATGTACAACCATGACGTGTCTTATCTCCAGCAAAATGGGTGGACGGTGTCAATGAGTCATGTATGTGTCTTGTTTCTAACCCTTAAACAACTAATCTTAACTCTAACTGCCATTGTAATGGGTGCTACTGATTAGAATAGATATAAGTAGTATATGTTGAGAGAGAGAGAGAGAGTCAGAAATTATAAAAAATTGCCAATGATGGGTAAATATTCTGCCCAGAAAAAACGCAAGAGCAACGTATTCATGCCAAATTGGGAGAGAAGCAGAAAAGGAAATGAAACATTATGCAAATGACTATTTTAATGGAAAGTGTATAACATTTTATCACTACTGTAAAAGATATCGTAATAAACATTCTCTTCTGCGTCTCACTCTTGATATATACTGACAGATGTTCAAACTCAAACAATTTCGCCATGAGTATCAGTTACTTTGCTGCATGCATATCAGTTCTGACTGATTGTATTGTGATTTAGTTGAATTTAGCTTAAATGTAAGATGAAAGTCAGGTTATATATTAGTGACCAATCTACCAGCTGCTGATGATTCCTAGAACCAAGCTGTTATTTGTGCAGAGACATAAGAAATAAACTCCATTATCTCATCTGCAATTGTCAACTAATAACTAGATACTCAGAACCCAAAGCTATGAACTATGCACTCAGATCCTATGAAAACATCACATTGTTAGTCATATGTTGTTTGATAACATAATTAAGTTAATGATATATCTACGCTTTGCATCCATGCCTTTCTAAATGATAGATAAAGAACTTATGTACATCACTTTCTTGGAATCTGATATCCAGATCTTTAAGATTCATTGTCAATCAATGATAAAGCCGTGTGAATAATTCAGAAAACCTATGTATTGGATCAGTTTGATAATGTTGAAAGCATCAATGAAATTCTTAGTTTCTCCAGTAGTTACTAACATCTGTATGTTTTCATTAGAGAAAGGCACAACACTGAAATACTCTAATCCGCTGAGAATTCGATTAAGGTTCATAAAGAGTACTTTTATTATCACTAAATATGGCAGTTGAAGCGAATTTTACGATCAGTGTATAATGAGTAACAAGGTATTGCTTTCACTAAGGATCCATTTGAATTTAATTTACATAAATTTGTTTTTGTGATGGAAGTAAAAGTCAGAAATTAAACGAAGACAAATACTCCTCGAAATTTGACACATTTTGACAAATTCCTGAACTGTCAGTGTAGATATCCTCTGACGACGAAAGTAACTTTGTCTAGAAAACTGATCAAAATGCCTAATCACCTTGTTTCAAGGGAAGAGGATATGAAATTAGTTTTGATTGATCCACGACTTTGCAAGTAAGATTAAGTATTGATGCCTTGTAGATGTGATCAGATCCAAATGACGGTAGTGATAAACATTTGGTAGCAGTGAAATCCAGGACAAGTGTTTCCTCCTGCTTGGGACGCATCAGCCTTCCGAATGCATTGAGGAAGATTCCAAATATCTAACTTCTGTGGTTAATATTTCATGGTCCTTATCGTTGAAGAAATACGTGCATACAAATGATAATTTGTCACATCTTTATTACTAATTACCAGTGAAGTAATTAAAAAAACTTTTTTTTCTTTAAATGACCTTTAGGAATAAAACTTACTGACTGCGGTGATGTGAAACCTATTGAATTAACTGAAATAGAAGATCCCCAACGCTTTGGAATGAAATGGTCGCGGAGTTTTACATCGACCACTCTTAAAATAGCTGGACGTGTAGAGGAGATATTGACAGAGTCAACCAAGCAAACTCACTCAACTGGATTGAAACCTTCTCCACTAGTAATTGTTGGCGGTGATCACAGTATGGCTACAGGTACAATACTTGGACATGCAAAAGTCAAGCCAGACGTTTGTGTAATATGGGTTGATGCTCATGGCGACATAAATACACCTTTAAACTCTGGTACTGGAAATCTTCATGGAATGCCTTTAGGTTTCCTCGTAAATGAACTACAACATGAAGTGCCCTGGTTTGAGGATATTGAAGGTGTTGAGCCATGGTAAGTTCGCTTAATTCCGATATATAAACGTATTACTGATATACCTACGGGTTTTATCATCTTAAACATTAAACATTTGTGGTACTGGGGTTTCCACTCATGATCACTGAGGTCTGAATGTACAATCAATTTCATGCGCCTGTTCTCTTTTTACCTCCGGATATTTCAATCAAAATTTCTCTCTCCAAGTGTTTTTATCCTTCTTCGTCTCTGTCTTCTCGTTTCCTTAAATTGGCTTCATTGCTCCTGGACTTGATGAAGACTCCGTGGCCTTCAGTGTTCGAGGATGGGGACATCAACGTCTTCCTCATGGACTTCGAGTTGGTCGCAGAGATGGTGTGTGTCCGGGATACAGGAGCCATGCTTGGTATATTGCTGAGGGGTAGAGAGAAAGCAGCATATGACTGTGTGGAACGCGTGGATCGGACGGAAACTTGGAAGAGAATGGTTGAACGCCTGTAGATGTAGTTTGATAACTCAGCCGACAAGGAGCTGGCGATGCGGCAGTTCCGGAGCACGAAACTTGGAACAGACGAAGATCCGCTGGTATTGGCTATGAAGTTGACAAAACTACTTCAACGAGCACTTCCTACTTTGGATGAGGACTCCGAGGCGCAGTTGCTGGCTGCACAGTTCATTGAAAGTGTCCCAAATGTCATCGCCTAGCAGCTATAACTAGTGAACTCAGCCCAACATATGGATATTAGTGAACTGGTCAAGGTCACTAGATAGGTAGTGGATATAGCAGTAGATGTGGTGGAATCACTAGAGGTAAATAACTAGAGAAAACAAGTCGATAACCTTCAGAAGGAAGTAGCTGCGCTTCAAATGAATATCGACAGATAGAGTAAATGCTTTACAAATGGGAAACTGGGACACTGGCAAAAAAACTGTCCGGACAGACGAAAAAGAAACTTTTTTGAACCACATAATATGAGTTCTGTTTTTCTGACTAGACTAGATGTTGTGGGAGCCATGGATAGACAGAGGTGCTGTGTACCCTGGAATGCGAATAAATGATCGGGAGATGGTGTGTCTAAAAGATAAGGGGACGGAAGTCTCTCTGATAGATAAGAATCAGTGTCAAAGCATAAAACCGTGTGTACTAACGGTCCATAAATTCGGGGACAAGCATCAGAAATCGCAGGCTTATCAGATTGTGTCGTCCAGATCGGAAGTCGAAAAATTAGATTTGAGGTATCAAAAGCACCACACTTAGAAGTGCCAAACATCATGAAGTTGATCAAGAAATAAGACAGGTTGTTCACGGGAGATGGAGACCCCTACGGACACTGTGACAAGATTCAGCAAGAAATCTCAGTGACAAGTCAAAAAATGACAACATTTATAACACGGAGAATACCATTTCACTTGGAAGAAGTAGTTAGGCTCCAGGTTCAGGAAATGCCAGATGAAGGCATTATTGAAGAGGCTGGTGGCCCATACAGTTCACCAGTGCTTTTAGTAAGAAAGTTGAATGGGAAATATAGATTCTGCGTTGATTTCCGAGAATTAAGTAGCATAACACAACTGAAGCCACGTGCCGTACCTACGGTAGCTAAGACACTGGATCGTTTGCAGAATGCAAAATTACTCATAGTTCTAGGCCTGGGATAAGGCTACTGGCAGCTACCAATAAAAGAAAGCGATAAAGAGAAAACAGCAAGAAGCAATACCAATTCAAACGAATGGCATTTGTCTTGCAGGCGCTCATTTACATTTAGACGGTTGATGATTTTGTTGTTGAAGAATTTAGAGAACGTAGAGACATATGGTGATGAACTGCTGATGTACAGTCAGATGGAAGCAGAACATCTAGAACACATGGAAACTGTTTTAAGACGCATTGAGGAGCTTGGACTTCGCATCAATAAGACAAAATCTCAGGTAGCCAAGAAGAGTATCACATTGCTAGGACATAATGTTGGAAACGGTGAAATAAAACCATTACCTGAGAACATTCTGATGGTTAAAACCATTCCAGTACCGAATTTCAAGAGGAAACTTCGGCAGTTCTTGGGCAGAGCAGCATTCTACAGTCGGTTCCTCAAAAATTTCAACGAGATAGCAGCATCTTAAATAAGCTTCTTGGTAACCCCAAATTTACGTGGAGAGAGGAGGCACAGAAAACGTTTGATCACATCAGGGAACTTCTAAATGCCTAGGAGATGAATTAAAAACTAATAACACCCTAGAGGCCATTCATTGTGTTCACCAATGCAAGTGATTATGGGATAGGCGCAGTTCTGAAACAGACTGAAGGAGTGGTGGAGTATGCCAGCCGTGTCCTAACACCTGCAGAAAAGAAATATTTCACGGTTGAAAAGAAATGTCCGGCGATAGTTTGGGCATTTGAGATCGTACCTCCTCGGCCAACGATTCCATATTGAAACTGACTACAAACCTCTACAGTGGCTAAAGACAGCGAAAGACCCCAGAGGGAAATTATCACGTTGGATGTTACGACTATGAAGATTGTAACTGCGTCATGCTATAAAGATAAATTATTCTCCAAAACCAACAAGTTACAATTCACTAACTGTTCAGTACTGTATTCCAATCTGTTTTATTTTGAAAGATTGGTTTACCTTGGAGTTAAATACCTCAGTTATCTGATTCTCTGTAGCTCTATTGCACCACTGCATAGCACGTACATATGTGCTCACTAGTCAGCATAGTCTACGCAAACCATTTAATGAACATGGTCATTCAGATATACCATGCCAATTTTGTTTTTATTCTCTCTGTCGCAAACTTGAATACTGATAGCTTATGCTAATGGCATAGGGAATAGGTGGGTTACAACTATGTCCTATTAGATCATGTTTTCAGACGTTTGACTGCTGAAAACATTTTCTGAAATATAAGTTTTGGGATTTTGAAATCAGTCAGCTATCAACTGGACAACACTGTCCTACAAATAGCTATCTGGAACTGTTTCTCCATTAACATTCTATGTTATTTACTTATTAATAACTGTTATACCACTTTTTTCTTGTTTAACTGTTCAGCCTTAAAGCAAGTGATATTGCTTATATTGGTTTACGTGATCTAGATGATCATGAAACGTAAGTGTATAAACGTTTGGTTAAATAACAAAATTTTATCAGTAATCTGCTGATATGCATATTTTGTTTACTACGTCATATTAGCTTGTATACTTGTTAAATGGTCACATATGGTCAGATATTGCGTATCAAATGCACTTTTGCATTTCATTTCAAATATAAACAAATTAATAAGCTTATCGGATAGTTTTATTTTCCAGTGAAGACTAAAGGTTAAACCTGAGGTGAAAATAGTTCTTTGCTGTACAAATTCAGCAAATATTATTGATGAGAACTCAGTTTTTAGGTATGATGAGATGAGATTTCCCAAAGTTCTAATAAGAGGTTGTGACTCATTGGGCAAACCAAGTCAGATATGATGAAAAATGCTCAATGATGGCATTGAATGAGGATCGCCTGATTACGCAAAATAACAGAAGTAGAAAGCTGTGGACCATTAGATCCCAAGTCAGTGGGAGAATTGTAACGTGCGCACACTGGACTTTAAGGGCCTGAGTTCGATCACCAATGAGGTCATGAGTGTGCACTTCTTAGGAGCCTTATGTTCAGAAGAAACCGATGTCTGGTACTTCTAGCTGATTTCAGTCAGTGTAGAATACCAAATTATTGGAGAGGTAGGTGTTCTCCAAGCCTGATCATGTGGTACTAAACTTTCTCCTTCCGAACATGAAGGCGTCTCAAAGCATCAACTCAGCTAGAAATGAAATAGATTTTCTAGTGAGACTGAAAACATATTCAGTTACTGAAAATGGTACCTGCCCATCTATCTACATCAAATTCACTAGAACATGTAAGTGGGCAACGTGCCAAAAGCTTCAAAATTCCACACTGATGGGAAAACATTTTATCAAGATTGTTGGATTGGCATGAACTGATCACAAAGTGCTTATTTAATGTATACCAACCTAGTCTACAGTACCAGTGAGAAATGTAGTTTTCTCCTATGGAGTGGTTATACTGACAGTAATTTTGAATATCTTGGGTAGTGCTAAGAAAAAACAACCACTTAAGTTGAGTGATTTCAAAATGCTACAAGGATTTTATGAAATCTATCCTTGTGTAGTTGCTTACAGGTGATTGAATCGCCTTGGGGAAAAAAACTGACATTAAAGGTACATTACTAGATAAGAAAGGTAAATAAACAGATTAGATAGTTGGGAATGTATGTCACATATATCACACCTTAGCCCACCTTGATATATGATAATACGTAAAAGGATAGCGCTTGCAAGAATAGGGCATGATACCAGTGAATGAAGTGGCTGACTGCTAGTCTAAGCTGGCTGTTGAATTGTGAACTACCTGTCACAAACGAACCGATGAACACCCTTAATTACGGGATTTGGCATTTTCCCTACTGATCTGGATGTCCTTTCTTCTTTGTCTTTTGGTGATAGTGAACATCTTTTCAGTCTGAAATGCTTCAGTTCACTAATTATCCGAGTTATTATTATTATTATCATTTCTCTACTATTGTGAATTATTCAGTCATTCTTTGCTAACGTAGAGTTTGAGAGATTGAACCAATTCATGATCGCTTCAGTCCCCCGATTTTTATGCGAAGTTAGCGTTTGGCAATATGTTCTAATTTAAAAATTTCCAAATGAACCACAAATTCATTGAATCATAAAGTCGTTTATTCAATAAGGAGTTAGGTTTTTAAGAAATATGCATACACTGATATATTACAGACTTTTGCTACCATTTATAGAAGTGAGTTGGAATGCTATGTTGGTGTAAAAGTGATTTTTGCGTAAATTTTATGTTGCTTATTTATATTGTCAAATCCTTCGGCAGATAACATCAAAAATTCATTGGTAAATGAAGATGTCATAACGTTTCGCTTATGGGACAATCTGAAATGTACTAATCAGATGGTTAAAAAGGTTGTGGACTTGCTTCAAACAAGGTGACTTTGATTCGCACTGTATATGGTAAACACTCGCCTACTTTGATGTACCATATCAACGCGAGTGGCTTGAGTTTAGAACAAAGAAAAGACAACGATTTCATGACAATTCGTGAAGTCCTTAAGTATTGGTTTGAATCGTCTAAAAACGTGTAAGCCACCTGGTTGAGATGATTCAAATGTTAGAAATCAGAGATAATTGACACTTGATCAACTGGTTTAAAGTTGATCACACTTCATCATACTTTATACTTTGAGCATTCCTGTTGAGGTGAATTCATTTGTTCTCTCTCAGTGCATTCTTACACGCTTTTATCTACTTTATTATTACTTTCTTCCCATTCGCTTCTTATTTGTATGTTGTTCTAAGGCGTTTTAACTTCAGTTATTACACTTCTGTGCTACATTTATACATTCGTTCCAGAAAATATTGAATTAGGCTGGTATAAATTCAAGCTAAAGACGATACCATTGCCGAATGAAATAAAATTGGGAATGTGGTTGCAAAACGGTTATAGGCATATACTACGGGTCATCAGTTGAAGCAGGTGACTAACTTCCTACCGATGGTTCACGAGTTCGGACACCGTTCCACCTACCAGTTCTTGTGAAGACAGGTAGTATCGATAGCTGTCATACATTAGATGGGTCTCATTACTTATTGAACGGGGGTGCATGTGTTAGCTGAGTGTGTTTCGGACTTTACGACCGACTGTAGAAAGAAAGAAGCATACTTTCTGGTTTCGTATTTTGTTTAGCGAATATTTTAACAATGTTTTGAATAAACTGCATAACTACTGACAATAAAGTATCGCTTATCAAGAATATCAGTAGTAGCGTGCTTCGATGACATTTGTTTGTAAAAATTTTGTGACCAAGTGGGAGTGATTGATAAGATAATACAAAATACGAGAAGAACTACTAACGTAATAAGACACTTGGACTGGATATGTAGTTCGATGGTTCTCCCTCAGACCTGAAACTTCACTGAACCACAAAAATCAGAAGATGAAGACCAGCCTGTAACTGTAAGAAAGACAGTTTACTTGACAAAACACACCACTTATATGTAGTTTTTACTTAGAAAATGAAGCCACTAGGTCAGAAGTTGGATACTTATGTTCATTGGACAGCTGAAGGACAAAATGCTGAATAAGGTCTTTTCACCCGCATGGCAACCTGAAACTGATGTTGATATCCAAAAGTTCCACTTTAGTCATTAGTGACTTAGAATACCGTTTTAGATTTCGGCTACTTATTATTATTATTTATTTGTCCCTTGGGTTCCTAATGGAACATCCCCGATGAGCTCTGTTCTCTGAAATCTTTTGAACCTGTCTCCACGACAGCCCACAAGCTCTCATTTTCTCCTCACACGATCTCCTCCATGTAACCTTCACCTCGGACGCCCAACTGGTCGTTTCCCACCTGGGTTCCACTCTAGTACCTGGCCTGGTGCGTGATGTCCCCAGTTAGCCTTCTCAGTGTATGCCCAATCCAGTCCATCTCCACTCTCGTCTTCTGCATATTTGTTGAGCGATAGGTTCTTGGTTGGTCCGTTGCCAGCCACAGTTCCTTGTTGCTTATTCTTATTATTGTGGCCATCTGATCTTGAGTAACGAGTGAGTGTAGGTGTCAGTTGTTGATGATGCGTGTCTGTAGTTTGTTGGGAATGCGTTTCGTAATATGCCAAGCCTCTGAACCATCACATAGAATCACTGACTTGACTGGATTGGTGTTGAAACTCCGGATGTTGTTGTTTGTGCTTAGTGCGGTAGATCCCCACACTGGTTTCAGGTTAATGAACGCCTGTCTTGCTTTTCCGATTCTGACTCTGACATCCTCGTCTGTGCCACCTGTAGTTGAAACAGTGCTTCCCAGATGGGTGAAGGAGGTTACTTCCTTTACGTTTCTCCCGTTAATGGCGATCGGAGCTTGTTGTTGTTGGTTGGGTATCTTCATCACCTCTGTCTTCTCTATACTCACCTAAAGTCCTGTCTTCGCTGCCTCTTCTGCCAACTTGTTAGTTTTTGCCTGTAGATCTTCAAGTTTGTATGACATCAGACACAAGTCATTGGTGAAATCCAAATCTTCTAGGTTCTTTTCCGCAGTCCAGCTGGAGTATCCCCCTCTTCTCGCTCCCCACTGTTTGTTGCATGATCCAGTCGACCACAATCAGGAATATCATGGGTGATAGTAGGCGGCAACCATGTTTCACTCCTGTCTTCATTTCAAAAGCATCACTGAGCTTCTCATTGTGAATTACTTGGCATGTGGCATCTTCATATAGTTGTTGAATGAGGGTGATAAAGGTTGGCAGTATTCCGTAGGCCACTTCCTATGAGAAAATCATTGTAATTGCGACGTATTTTGTTTGAATATCGGTGTACTTGATCAACACCGATTGTGAATAATTTTCATGAGTTTCTCTCATTAATTTCGAATAAAACTATCTTTATAACTTATTGTATACACCTTACTTTATGACTGGTTTCTTAGATATAATATCAGAAAGTATGGGATTGCACACTTCACAATGGTTGATGTTGATCAACTAGGAATAGAAACTGTCATTAAACAGGCATTAAAAGCAGTAAATCCAAGGTAGAGTAAAACATTTTTTTCTTTGTATATTTCATTATTAATACAATCATATTTATATGCTAAACAATTTGAAACCTGATTTTGTAAGTTAACTAATCAGATAAGACATCAGGCAAATTGCTGGTAATGAATACCTACAAGAAGTTGAATCATGAATTCGCACTTATTATGATGCCTAACGTAGTACTAAAATGTTCAATAATCTATCCCAATAGCCTAAATGGATTCATACCCTCCCTTCATCTAGGTCATAATGCTATTCATTCCCTTCATCATTATTTCTATTATTCTGTATGTATCTTATGATGATAAAATGTGTAAACCTACGGCTCATTGCTTCAGTCAGCTGACGGACTTTCAACCAATAGGTCAAGGGTTTGAGCCTTTCTCCATCTACTAAGGTTTGGATAAGCAATCCTTCCACTGGTTGCCTACTGCACGAAAGTGTACGTGGTTAATAAGTGCACTCTGTCGTTCCACTTCCTTGATGGTTAGTGTGTGTGTTTAAGTTTTCACCTTTCTTATTCTGTTGACTTTCACCTCAATGTTCCAATGCTTTTGTCATCTGAATCGCAAGGCGTTTGTAATAAGTCATATGCTATACTTTTGGTTCAAATCGATTTCTCACCTCAAATAAGTCTCTAGTTTAAATTTTTTTAGTTCGAGCTACCACTAGTAAATTACCAACACATCAGAAACCAATAGGCCTGAAAAAATTTGAAGTGAAACGGTTTACCTTAACTCTTTTGACATTTAGTTTTGGATACCATTCAGAGTTTAGAAAGTTATCTTATAGTCAAATGCTTAAAATGTCGGTCTTTATATGCCTTTACTGAATTCTTTAAAATTTCTTCAAATACCCACTAGTATCTGTGATCTTTGTCGACATTTTAGGCATTTAGATTCTAAAGTAAAGTCTGCCTTCAGTTTAACGCATTATACTTAAAGCACGAGAAAAAAATCTATAGTTAGTTGTGTAGGGTGATGTTGTGTGAAAAAGTTTGAGCACAGAGTTTCTTAACTCCACTTACAAAAAACGTCTACATAAAAGAAATGTAGATAGAAAAGATGCATTCAGTAAACTGTAGCAGTTCACCGTTTTACTTGTGACCAATATGTTTCCTGTTTTTAATTATTACTATAGTATTTCAGTTTTCTTGGCAAATTTTACTCATTTTTATAAATGAATAAAACGATTAATCATTGGTGACTAGCTTCGAGAAGTATTCCCGAAGTTCCAATGAGAAGTCGTGATCAGTGGAGTCAAAGCCTAATGGCCGTGAGGACAGATACTCAACGATGACATTGGGTGGCGGTTGCGCTATATCGTGAGCTAAGAGAAGTTGGAAATATGGAGCATTGGATTGTGACCCAGTGGCTCAATGGCAACGCGCTGGCTGCGAAACCTGAAGGTCGCGGGTTCGATGCTTGAAGGACGGGGTGGTGGGTGCGCACTGCTGAGGAGTCACATATTAGGACGAAACGGCTGTCCAGTGCTCCCAGGTTTCCTTTGTTCCTCCAACTAATATCAGTCTAAGATGAATAACAACTTGAAATTAATTTATCGTATTTTCTTCTTTTGATTAGAATATGACCGTAAAAGTAATTTAAGTTAAAAAAGAAATCAAGGCACTAACTGCAGGGTGTAATAAGCAATACATTATAAATTTATTGAACATTTAATTGCATACCTTCAAGTTTGTTTTAAATCATTATCAGACCATGGTTTCTGGTCAGTTAAGTTTCAATACGAAATGAATATCTAATTATAAGAAATTAATATCTGCGTTCTATCCTTGCGCATTTAATTAGTTTTAACATAAATGATGGCATGCAGGAACGATAATAAAACTGAAGTTTTCAACAACAAAAATTATTTCTAAGATCCACATAGGTGAAAAAGGTTACAGGAAATTCATAAAAAATAATACTTAACGACTTATTGAGTATACCAAAGATGCAAAAGTAAGACTCTTAACTTATAATTTCATATTAGATATGTTTACTTGATTTATAACAGAATATATTAGAATATTAATATTACCCGCTTTATTGTAATATTATAAGCTAATATACGTGTAAAACTTGGGCACTGTGATAGAATTTAATTCCACATTACATTTGCTTATTTGATTTATAACACACAGTTATTCAGTATTATTTAATTGATGACGATTCCACCATAAATTATGCCCCACTATCATATCAATGTAATCACACTACTCCCAACATCTAATTTCTATAGTCCTGTCACCTCATATGATTTGTTCTTATTCATAGTAAAATTTTCCATATCTCCGGTATGAGTGTTGCGTCATCTCTATTACATGTGTTACTTGTTGATTCAATGAACAACGATTCAGTAGTCAATCAATCTCTCTCTCTCTCTCCCCACCTGATTATATTGGAGTTGATTACTGTGGAATTATCCCCTCCTATTGTGTGCTTATGTGTTAACGCATCCATTGCAATAGTTGGATTACCTTCTAGATTGTTGATCTTATTGGGGTCTGTCACTCTGTATTTATTAGCTACATTCCTGTATTCAGCTATTCTAACTAACCCCAACAGGCTAGTTTCATCAACGTACTTGACCTCACAGTCATTACATGGAATTTGATAATTTTGCCTAACTGGTTCTATTGGATCCTTAGGCCGGCCGACAAAGCATATCTCTGAGTGAGTTTGTAGGTTTAAATGCCACCCTAATTCCAGCTTTGTTGAGAATCCTACCTAAAGTTTCTGATGTAGCTTCCTAATAGGGCAACATAATGGAGACTATGAACTCCTTTCTACTCATGTTGTCGTTATTATTCGTTCTCGTGTTTCTGTCATCATTTCGCTTCTTGTGTGTTCATACAAATTTCTTGACAAACTGCGGAGGATAATTATTAACTATTAGTGCTTCTTTTACGTGTTCCAGTTCCTTGTTTAAGCCCTTGCACTGACTAGTCAGTTTTCTAGTTCTATCACTTAGATATTTGACTAAGCCTGCCTTCACTGACTGACATTGGATGGGATGACTTGAAGTCTAGATACCTGTTGGAATGTGTCGGTTTCCTGTGGACGGTTATATCCAAACCACCAATGTCTGTCCTTCGTTTCATCCTCCTATTCAACATGAGTAATTCTCCTTGTTCACTTTCTACCTGCTCGTAAGCCAATTCGATTGCGCCTACTATTGAGTTTATTGTGTGAAGAAATTGTTGATATGTTCCGATTTCAATACAGTAAATGTGTCACCCACATATAGCCATCATATTTTTGGTGCAGGAGTGAACGTTTGTAAAGCCATGTTTTCCCAACTATCCATAAACATATCTGCTACGATTGGGGATATTGGTGATCCAGTTGGGATGCATGCGTTAACACACAAGCACACAATAGGAGGGGATAATTCCACAGTACTCAACTCCAATATAATCAGGTGGGGAGAGAGAGAGAGAGATTGATTGACTACTGAATCGTTGTTCATTGAATCAACAAGTAACACATGTAATAGAGATGACGCAACACTCATACCGGAGATATGGAAAATTTTACTATGAATAAGAACAAATCATATGAGGTGACAGGACTATAGAAATTAGATGTTGGGAGTAGTGTGATTACATTGATATGATAGTGGGGCATAATTTATGGTGGAATCGTCATCAATTAAATAATACTGAATAACTGTGTGTTATAAATCAAATAAGCAAATGTAATGTGGAATTAAATTCTATCACAGTGCCCAAGTTTTACACGTATATTAGCTTATAATATTACAATAAAGCGGGTAATATTAATATTCTGTAAATGTGAGCAACTATTTGCAATACTCTCTCGAATAGGATCTATAAATTAGTGCTAGACTGTTTGGTAATAGTATATCAAAGTGTTTTGGAAAGATATTTCTTCCAAGGAACCTCCAAGCATTCCATATTGTTTTTCTCTACTGGTATATGAAGCAAAATGTTTTGCTCACTGTTATCGGAAATAGGTTTTGTTAGATCTGCCTTAGAAGTAGTCAAATGAAATCACAGATTATGCAGAAAGACCACTGTGTATTTAAATTAAATACATTGACGCTTGAGAAATAATCTTCATTTCCCATTCTTGATAATCTCTCGCTTTGTCGGAAAGTAAAAAAAGCAATAGGAAAAAAGAAAGTATATCGCAGTTTCGAAATGCACACACACCCAAAGTACAATAGTTTATTTTTAGACCCTTCTAGAAAGCCATTTCTTTTTTATTTGGCCCTTAAGTAATTGGATATTTTCGTCAATGATGAAGTGCTTTTTCTCAAATCTTTGAAGCATAGTGATTGACTATGAAACACTCCAGGGATTTGTGACTATTTTAAACTGTTGCTTTATTCAAATTCCGTTCAGGAGGTACGTCATATTGATTTGTACTGAATTTCAGATCAAATGTAAAACTTTAAGACAAGAGGCCAAGACCTCTCTCACTGAACATTAATAAAAACGTTATCAAGAGATCTGATACTATAATGTGGTGACTGTAGACCAAGAAATTTGTTTTTAGCAGCGAATCAAGATGGCATGTACTTGTAATAATCGTAAGTTTTCAAGTTAAGCAGGATGTAATGTGTCTGGAATGGATCTTATCACGTCATGATCAAATATTCAATATGAAGCAGAAATATCAAATTATACACCATTGATAGTGTGAACTAAAGTTGAAACGATTGAAATGTGCATTAATGAAGCTAAAAAAAGAAGTATGACAGGATAAAATGAGCTCGATTTTATCATTTCGAGGATTCTCCTCAACTGCTTACAAGATGAGCAATCTGAAATTTACACACTACAGGAATTGAACATAGTTTCAACAAGTTGACACGAGATTTTTGATGGGATAAAACCGTTAACATAGTATGAACGTTTAAGACAGAAGAGAGTATTGGGAATATGAGAGACTGACTATTTATAAGATTATTTCATCTACATTTCAATGCACTTATCTTATTATGGACATAAATTCAGTTTTGTCAATTGGGATAAAGGAAACACAAAGAATATCAGAGAATTTCTATAAGCTTGGCATTCAGATCAGTCAGCAATGAATAGATGCACGGACATAAATCGAATCTATCAACCAATAAGAAAAGTGATAAATGACAGAAATGTGGGAGGTCAAGCAAAAGAACAGACAACAGGAAAACCTATGCAGTCAATAACATGACAATCAAAGGAAGCAATCAATCACAAACCAATCATTTAGAGATATTGATAGCTCACTTCATACTGAAGTTAGTGCTGATAGTGTTGGTGTCTAGAAAGACGATGAAAGCTCCACGATTAAAAAACTTAGCTTAGAAAACACAAAACATTTAAAACCACCCACATTGACCAAGCAACATGATCAAGGGTCATCTGATTCATTCTGAACACATTACTCACAGTTTCAAAACATTCAAGGTAGATCAGTAGACAAAAGAACTGAAATCTATTACATTTTCCAAAGCGATAACTATCAAGATATCTAGACCAAAACGATACAGTTGTCAACCTCTAACTGCTACATTACTTTTTCCATCCACCATCTTAACCTTTTAGATCAAGTATATTCAGCTAATAATTCTAGAAATAACCAGTCTTTCTCTCGTATTCCTAATGATCTCTCTTACTTTGTTCATTTGTGTTAACGGTTGATCCTGTGAATAATATTTAAGTGTTAAGTGGTGACTCTTTCAAAAATTCGCTTCTTTTCATCTAAGGGTTGAAAGCTGGGAATTGTAAGGTTATTGAAATGTGTTGGTTTATTGTAAGTGAAACCCACAAATACGTTACAATTTGGAGGTTTGTGTGGATTTCAAATTGGTATTCATTGCGGACTGACATCATTTAGAAGAATATTGAAATACTGAGAGCACTGGACAGCTGTTTCGTCTTAGTATCTTGCGCACAGGTGAGAAGTCTGATATTAGGATGGAACGGCAGTCCGATGCCTTCAGGATTTTAAATGCTCTTCAACTGATGTCAGTCAGTGTTGAACATCAACTTGAAATTACTAAATAAATCCCCCGAAACTTCAAAAAGTGGATCACCTTCCAATTCTCATTAGTGACTTGCTTCGAATTGAAATTTCCAAACCTTCTAATGGGTGAATAGTTGTGACCTGTGAGGTAAACTAAGTCAGATTTGAGACAACTATTCAACAGTGGCATTGAATGAAGGTTGTGGTACATCACTAACTGACAGAAGTAACAAAATCAGGACTATTCGGTTCTGACCCAAACGCTTGGGGATCAAGTGTTCTGCATAGAACCTGAAGGTCCTAAGCTCAACCACCGGTGAAGTCATGCGTGTACACCACTGAGAAATCCTACGATAGGATGAAATAGCTCTTTGGTGCTCATAGGTTTTCAATCTTTCTCTAACTCATGTAACTCCATGATGAATATCAACTTGAAATACGGTACATCTAGAATGTTTACTCGTTCTGATTTTAACAACTTAGCAATGACGAAATGAGCATAGACCAAGAATTTTGAGTAGCTAGAAAACATTATTGCAGCATGTTGACGACAGGTAAATTGGATTCAGCCACTTGCTCTTTTATGGTAAACGTTTCATATAGCTTACCCTTTAAATACTTTTATTCAGATATGTATAATGGCCTATGCTGGTTATTATAATTTTCTCAAGAGTCATTCATGAATTTGAGACAGATTCAATTCGCGTTCTTCTCCTATGTAATTGGCAGGTGAAACTTTCAGAGATAATATAGTCTGTTAAATAGATATATATCAAGTCTAGAGGTAGTTTGCTTCATAGTAAGAAATGAGTATCGTATACCAGCTTCAGAATCCTTACCTCTGAGCACTCATATCCTAGTCCCGGACTGAAAGCCGATACATTGAAGTTGCATAGTGATTTACATGGGTTGAGAAAATCCCAAAATATTTGATTTATAGCAAAAGAAATGATAATAATTGTCGACATGTCTGTGGTGTTTGATTACATATAACCTTGTAAAACCCAGTTCTCTGCAGTCATTTACAGACGGATGATCATAATTTTGATGAAGCAACTGAAAACAGATGCATTCAAGCATTCCTAGGCTGTACAGCAACTAATGTCCAGTGTTGTTTACTTTGTTTAGTTGTCTATCAAGGCGACTGTCATGTTGTTCACTATTATGAGATCAAAATATTGGCATTTTTTCTGATATATTATTGGTATAATGTGAAATAAGTTCATTATTTGACGAACCTAAATTGTCATTCTAAAATCAATTTATCATTTATTCTCCAGATTAGACAGACCCATTCACTTAAGCTTTGATATTGATGCTTTGGATCCTTCCGTTGCTCCAAGCACAGGTACAGCTGTTCCCGGTGGATTGTCATTACGTGAAGGTCTAAGAATATGTGAAGAAATTTCAGCAACAGGTGAGGTGACTGATAATGTTTTCTGGCTTTTTTCCACCTTTTAGTCAAACATCAAACATCGTACTGAACTATGAAGGAATATTTTTACTCGATATATGTATATTTAATATTTCTATCCACTTTCACCTTTCGTTTACTAACTAAGTAATATAAAGGTGACAAGACTTGACTGAGGTATATGAAATACGTTAGCATAAACAGATATTCAAGTATGTAAGTTTATTTGTTGGTTATCTCCAACTATCTGTCACATTTTAGCAGATAGTTAGTGTATGTACACGTGATATATCTATAAAAATGCCAACACAACCATTTAGGGATACTTAACTTAAAATCATCTAAACTGCGTAAACTTTCCTTGAATGTAAGACTAAAGTGCTAACTGGTAGTCGACACTGGCATCAGTAAATAAGCTTGTGGATTTATAAAGTTACTTATACTTTCCTCTGTTGATTCGATAGATTTACTTTCTACCAAACAATAGTTCGTGGCTGGATTGTAACTTGGGCTGCCCAATTTTTACCATGGAATATTTTGCTTCAGATAACTCCATTGAAAGCGGTTCTAATCAACCAAATATGTCCTATGATATTATGATTTATTCTCATAAATTTTAAGAATCCTTTCAAGCTATCACTTTTGCAAGTTTAAGATAAAATGAAGAATAGACACAATGGTAGATGAGAAGGGGCTTTTGAGCGTACAACAATGCGTCACATGGTCATTCCTGAAATGTTTAGCACGAACTTCAGATCTCTGTCAAAGAAAATTGAGTACCTTTTGTCACATAACAGATTGTTCACACAGTGATGCAATATTATTAACTGGATGATATTTCACGACGAATTTATCGCACATATTCAAGTAAAAGATAGCTTTTACTTTCTAGCCCGTTCGACTTTCTAAGGTTTTTTATCACTTGGGTTGAAAGGATGTTCCAGTAGGTTTTGGTCTATGCTAGACTTTAGGGATATGATGCTTAGAGTTGTTGCCAATGATGAACAATTCATGTTGATTATTATTATTATTATTATTAGTCCCTTGGGTTCCTAGTGGAACATAGGGCTTCAGTAGCACGCCTCCAGTGACCTCTGTTCTCTGAGATCTTTTGAACCTGGTTCCACGACAGCCCAGAAGCTCTCATTTCCTCCTCGCATGACCTCCTCCATGTCACCCTCGGCACCGACGTCCAACTCGTCGCTTCCCATGGGGATTCCACTCAAGGGCCTGACGCGTGATGTCCTCAATCGGCCTTCTCAGTGCATGGCCAATCCATCTCCACTTCTTCCTGCATATTTGTTGCGTGATAGGTTCTTGGTTGGTTCGTTCCCAGAGTTCCTTGTTGCTTATTTTTTCTGGCCATCTGATCTTCAGTATCGAGCCAGCGTAAGCAGTTGTTGATGAATGTCTGTAGTTTATTGGAAATGCCTTTCGTGACGCGCCAAGTCTCTGAGCCATACAAGAGCACTGACTTGACGTTGGTGTTGAAAATCCGTATCTTGTTCCACATGGTGAGTGCAGAAGATCTCCACACTGGTTTCAGGCTAATGAACGCCTGTCTTGCTTTTCCGATTCTGACTTTGACGTCCTCGTCCGTCCCGCCTGTAGTTGAAACAGTGCTTCCTAGATAAGTGAAGGAGGTTACTTCCTTTAAGTTTCTCCCGTTGACGGTGATTGGAGTTTGTTGTTGTTGTTGTTGATGGTGGTGGTGCGGTATCTTCATCACTTCTGTCTTCTCTATATTCACCTGAAGTCCCGTCTTGGCTGCCTCTTCTGTCAACTTGTTAGTTTTTGCCTGCAGATCTTCAAGTTTATGTGACATTAGGCATAAGTCATCGGCGAAATCCAAGTCTTCTAGGTTCTTTTCCGTCGTCCAGTGTATCCCCCTCTTCTCGCTGCCTACTGTTTGCTGCATGATCCAGTCCACCACAATAAGGAATATCATGGGGGATAGTAGGCAACCTTGTTTCACTCCTGTCTTCACTTCAAAGGCATCACTGAGCTTCCCATTGTGGATTACTTGGCATGTGGTATCTTCATATAGTTGTTGAATGAGGCGGATAAAGGTTAGCGGTACTCCGTAGTATTGAAGCAGTATCCAAATTACTTCTCGGTCGACGCTAATTCATGTTGATAGCTGTTCATTTTTAATGTACCTCACGCAAAAACATTCTACAGTCAGTAAAACTTGTTCAGAGGTTTATAGAAAGAATCGAACTAAATTACACACTATACTGCGTATAGAATAAACTGAAATTGAAGTTATGTTAGTAGATATGGATTGGCTATTCGATGTTTTCAAAAGTGAAACCAAACATAATCTCCTGGTCACATCTCAAAGAATGAGTTAGCCAGTTGTTGTCTCAATCGCAAAAACACCTTCATACCTTTTGCATAACAGAATGATTAATTAGGTGAATGCTTTAGCATTAAATTTTGCACAATTTAGTATACGGAAGTTAGACATATTCATTTGTGTGATTGTTTGGCAACATTGAAAAACGTGTTAAAGCTTTTGTCTACTTTTTTATTATACAGTAGTATAGCGTAAACAACAAAATTTCTGCCTGATGTCAATTATAACTGCTGAAGAAGCTCCATACCATGTAAAAAAAGGTTATTATTTATCGTGTTGATAGTTTACCGAATTTTTGACAATAATTTACAGAGGCATTTGCTCATCTGAGTCAGCGAAATGAAAAATTGCTGGCCTAAATAAAGACAACATTGATATGAGGTGATTGAAAACATGAATTGGATGAATAAATATGCAGCACTAACATACAAAACTGAGTTTGTCAAAATATAGATGAATATCCCAGAGCGGAAGCTGGATAGGAGGCACAGATAACTCTATTAAACGTATTAGGGAATTTATTACTATTTGCTGATATGCTTGTAGTTCTCCGCTGTTTCACTGGATCGGATTTTTTGACCTCTACTTAGGCACCTGGTTAACTAGTTCACTTGTGACTAGCCGGTCTTAAGCCCAGATTAAGAGGGAAAGTTGGGCATAGGGCTACCAACCCCACCCCAGAAAACCAATACAACTGCTAAACAGACTTCAAAGCACAAAGAAAATATTAAAAATAAAAACAAACTTATTCCTCGCTGGAATCGGAGAGAGAAAATGATGCCGGTTGGTGGAAGTCTTCGGAAAGCCAGTCGACCGATGTGCCTCCTCTCTCTCGATGAAAGTGACAGTAAGGATGGGGACATGGAATGTCCGCACCATGTACGAACCTGGCCGGCAAGGCTGCTCAGATTGCAAGAGAGATGAGGAGGTATGGCATGGAAGTGCTTGGAATCTGCGAAAGCAGATGGAATGGAAGTGAACTCTCCAAACTCTTAACTGGAGAGTCAATAATCTACTCCGATATTGTCACCCAGACGACAACCACGAGCACGCTGAGTTTCAGAGTGACTATCGTGATGTCCTTAACAACATCGAAGTCTCTATCTCATGCAGTGGGAAATAGTCTCCTCCAGGATTTCCACCATGTTAGCAAGATTTAACTGAAAAGGAAGGAAAGTCACAGTCGTTCAATGCTGCGCACACACAAATAATGCAGATTAAGAGAAGAAGGAGGAATTCTACAGACAACTGCAATCAGTAATGGACAAGACCTCACCACAAATGGTGACATTAGAATTCTAATGCGGTGGGTGACATGAATGCCAAACTGGGAGCGGACAATACAGTAGGAGAACCAATCATGGTTCGAGAAGCACTCGGTGAAATTAAAGAGAATTGAGGCCCGTTCGCGGACTCCTGCACCTTTAGTGATTTGGTAACTAGAGGCACAGTGTATAAACACAAGTATATTCACAAAGCAAGCGACATGGATTTCACCAGACATTAGGACACACAAGACATCAGATCGACTTCATTTCAAGGTGGAGAAAGTGGAGACGCAGCCTCCCGGACACAAGATCGCATAAAGAAGAGGAACAGATATAGGTTCACACCACTCACTATCTGGTGCCGGGCACCCACCTTCAAAATCAAGTTGAAAGCATTCAATTCGAAAAAGCTGGTTATAGACGACCACAGTTCAAGTTGAACACCCAGAACAGAAAGTGAAGTGAAGGGCGAAACTACAAGGGACATCTTCATGTCAATCAACAATCAGGACAAGATTGGAGACACTGAGCAACATCCCTGTAGCATTGGGCTTGGAAAAACACTGAAACTCTTTGAAAGTTATGTGGAAATAAACCTGCATAACCGAATTAAGGAGGGAAGAGGAGACAAGACAAGTAATGCATCTCGATGGACATACAGAAGCTGGTAGAGGAGGGAGAGGAGGATGGTGATGGTGAAGCAGAAGATGAAGTAGTGCAGTGCAGTGCAGTGGCGTGCAGGGGTGAACGACGAAGAGAGGAACTGGACACAACCTACAAAACACTACACTGGACAAAGAAGTGAAGAAGAGTGCATGGGAAGACAAAAGACACTTCTATGACACACTGGCAAGTGAATCAGAACAGGCTGCTGGTAGGAGAGACCTGACAACATTATATCAAATGACTAGGTTACTATCTGGGTAGAGATCAACTCAGAGGAAACCAATGAAAGATAGTGAAGGAAATCTAGTTACCATAGAGATGAGACAAAGGAGAGAATGGGCTTACCACTTCAAAAAACTCTTGAATCGACGACCACCAACACCTACAACTCGTCCAGAAATGCCACCAGCAACCACAGAATCTTCCGTGTGCGCAAGCCCTCCGACAAAAGCAAAAGTGAAGTCCTGAACGCCATAAAGTTGATGAAATCCAGATACGCAGCAGGGCCGGATGTGATTCCGGTAGAAGCACTGAAAACAGACTGAGAGACAACAGCGTACATGCCGACAACACTACTGCAGAAGGCTTGGAACAAAGTTAATTCAGCTGTAGGTTGAAAGGAGGCCCACCGTGTCAAACTCCTGAAGAAGGGCGACCTAAGGTTTTGCAACAACTGGTGCAGAATCATACTCCACTCCTGTCCACACCAAGCAAGCAAAATATTAGGCCGTATCATCCTGAAGAGACTAGACAATGCACTGGATTCAAAATAACTACAGGAACAGGCTGGTTGGCTTCAGGAAAAACAAACCATGTGAGGATCAAATTGCAACGCCACGCTACGCATCATCGTACAACAAAGCATAGAATGACAGTCAAATCTCCACCTTACCTCAACTTCATCGACTTCGAAAAGGCCTTCGACAGAGTCAACTGAGAAATAGTTTGCCAAGTGATTCAATACTACGCTTTTAGTGCTATAAACCTTTATCAACCTCATTCAACAACTATATGCTATATGATGCTACATGTCGAGTGATTCACAATGTAGAGCTCAGTGATGCCTCTGAAGTGAAGACAGGAGTAAAACAAGACTGTCTACTATCATCACCGATCATCTTCCTGATTGTGGTCGACTGAACTGGACTGGATCATGCAGCGAAGCGTGAGGAGCGAGAAGAGGGTAATATGCTGTCTGGATCGATGAGGAGATCCTGAAAGATTTGGATTTCGCCTATGATGATTTATGTCTAATATCTTGTTGTACAAACTCGAAGATGTACAAGCGAAAACTAGTAAGATGATAAAAGAGGCAGGGCAGCGAAAATGTGACTTCAAGTGAATGTAGAGAAGATGGAGGTGATGAAGATACCCAACCAACAACAGCATCAGCAATAAGTACCAATCACCATTACCGGGGGAAATCCAAAGGAAGTTGCCTTTCAACTTCCTGGGCAGTACCATTCCAACTGCTAGTGGTACAGGTACAGATGAGGATGTCAATGTAGCCAGGATGGGAAAGACAGCAAGACAGGCTTTCATTAATTTGAAATCAGTGTGGAGACCTACTGCACTGCACTCAGGACAAAGTAGAAGATCCAGGTTTTCAACACTAATTGAGTCAAGTTAGTGCTACTATATGGGTCAGAAACTTGGCATGTCACGAAAAGCGTTTCCAAGAAACTACAGATATTCATCAACTGTTGCCTACACTATCTCGATAGTGAAGATTAGATGGTCAGAATAATAAGAATAAGCAACAAGGAACTTTGGCTGGTAACGAACCAACCATAACTCATTGCCCAACAAATATGGAGAAGGAACTGGAGATGGATTGGGCATAGACTGAGAAGGCCGATTGGGGGCATCATGAGCCAGGCCCTCGAATGGAATCAAAAGGAAGAACGATGAATTGGGCGTTCGAAGGTTGCATGGCGGAGATCATGTGAGGAAGAAATGAAAGCTTGTGAGCAGTCGTGGAGCCAGGTTGAAAGACTGCAGAGAAGAGAGTGCAATGGAGGCGTGCTATTGAAGCCTTATTTTCCACTAGGAACCCAAGGGACAAATAATAATAGTAATTTAGGCACTACTGAGCCATCCATGTAGGAGCCCATATGAAATAAAGGTCAAAAAATTCGATCCAGTAAAACAGCAGAGAATTACAAGCATATCAACAAATAGTAACAGTCTAAATCAGCAGCCATCGTGCCTCAGTGGTCTAATGGATAACAGTTTGGTGTTTGAAGTGATGGGTACGAAAAAGGTTCGAGTCTCACCTGGATGCCCGCACATATAGCTGACAAGTCTCAAACAGGACAAACCTCACATTTCGGATTCTTCTGCTAGCCACAACGAAGTAAATTATCATGATGTTAAGAAAGGTCACACAAATTGTTTAATGATAAGATTTATGTTAACTGAGAGCTAATATGAGAAGAATCGAGATAACTGGATCAAGGGTGTGAAATGTAAAATAATGAAAAAAACCCTTGTTTAAATCGATAGTGATGATTAAAAACTATGTTGATTGTTAGCAAGACAAAAATCTTTACGATGGTGGGCACAGACTGATAACTGTTTTTTTTTTGAACATATAAGTTCGGTTACATTCGTTTAGCGGGTAACGATTTAGTGAAACTCAACCAATTCTAATTCATCTGTTTATTAATTATTTCGAACGATTTCTGAACATTGACTTCATGACTACTGTCACTATGGTGACGATCAGTAGCGCTGTTGAAAACCTTCCCATACTTTAGTCACAAATTTCTTGAAATATGCTCAGACAAGCGGTTACAGTCTTCTTTCTCTTCTCCTAATGTATGTGCTTTCTCACTTACATGTGAATTGGTGTATGCAGTTGAAGGTAACGTGAAGAGTGGACTCGTCAACCTTTGATTGTCTCAGTAAACAATTTTCTCGGTAGAGCGCAATTAATCTCGTATATGGATAAGTCATTTAAAGACACTGCTTACTCTGTAGCTAATTCCCCTGGAAACATCATCACTTTTGAAACCAAGCTTCTTGTAGGCTCAATCATACCCTATGTTTTTAGTCTTTATATTTTTGAGGTTATTGATGAATATCAGTGGATATCCATTACCGTGGAAGGAGTTTTTAATAACAGTTATTTCCTTTTCCAGTTTCTCTTTTGGACAAAGATGTCTTATGCCGTTGAAGAGTGTTTTACTAGTTATTTTCTTATGACTGATTGGAGAAAAGCTGTTGAAGTTAGGATACATTCTCCAAAATCTTTAGGATGGATACGTCTAAGTATGCTATCATCTATAGTTCGTTGAGGAGGCGAGATTTGTTACTATGTTCAAATTCTATTGTACATCTTATATTTTTGTGTTCTTTGTTTTGTAGACGAAACAAAAATGAGTATCTTTATCGGTGAATCTTTTCCTCTAAAAAATATTAGTTAAGAGGATATTGTAAATAAGGGATCCGTACAGGTTTAATATGACCTTGTCTACAAAACATATGTTCATTCAGATAAAATTTCAATACAAGACTGACAAAAAGAATTTTATGAAACTCTGATGTAGTTGAAGTTGAAGAAATTTCAGTATACGTTTTTAAGCGAACATCAGCTTATTTCGTTTTATTCCTGAATATGTGTGGCGCATATCTTTGAAACATGGTCAGTAAAATCCGACCGTCTAGCGTCTAAATTTACTAGGCTATTACTTTAACATTCAAAATACTCATAAATATTCTGTTAAAAAGTTTAGGATTAGATCAGATTAAACTGGCTTACCAGAGAATGCAATTAATATTAGTCTAATTGATAAGGATCAATCAACCATTTATGAACTTGCATTGCAGTGTTTGCTGGAATACAGGTTTAAAGAGGAAAGAACGAGCAATAGCAGATTTGAAAGATGGCAAAGACTTGCAGGAGCAATGAATGTTGGCTTCAGCTGTTTAGCAGGATGTTCAACTAGTTGAATGTGTTCCTTATTAATGACTGAGATTCCAGTTAAAGTTTCTAGGTGATATGGATTGTAGCTGATCCGGGTTAACCAAATGTATTGTGTATTTAAGGTTCGACTGAGATTTCAATGTTTCACTCCAATACAGTTTGCACTTTTCGTTTTGATGAAAGGAGTTAATCGGCGAGAGACCACTCCAGGTTTGGATTTCGTGCTTACTGGCATTCATCAGCAAACATGAGTAGCTTTATGATTAGATTTCTGACCTCATTATTCAGTGACGTAGGTTAGAATCATAAACAAAGTTTTCTAATGGTTCAATGGGGCTACCTACCAGCTGGCTCCCAGCAACCTACACCAAAATAAGATACACTAAAGTGTAGTAGCATTCAGCTGAGTTGCTACATAGCAGTTACATGATCGACAGAATTTGATCAATTCTGAGTATTGAAAACTAGATAACTACATCTGTTACCCACTGGTGACGAACTTGTGCACAATTTATGCTACCTTAAGGTTCAATTTTGTGATTTTTCGGTCTCTTAGCAGTTAAAAAGTACAACAACTGAATGTAAGTTATTTTTCAGCCATCTTTCAACTTATAACTGCTCAAATTCACCTACTTATAGTAGGTGATTTCAACAAGGCATTCATCATAGACTTGAATCAGTTAGAAAATCATGGAAACCCGGGAGTACTGGATAGCTGTTCCGTCCTGGAATGGGACCTCTTGAGTTGACCAAACTTAAACTTTTTACGTTTCATGGCAAGCAATTAAGTACTGAGCCACTGTTTTGAAATTAAATGGTTCACATATTCTTACCTTTGTCAATTGAAATTTATTCATGAACTTTTCAAAGTGAACACAAAAAAAAAGAATATGACCTGGTTACGCTATTTATTGATTTATTCATTTTTAGGACAATTATCTGTTGTTGAAATGGCTGAATTAAATCCTTTACTGGGATCTAAAGAAGATGTTGAAAAAACTCAACAAACTGCTGTTTGTATTCTAACAGCATGCCTAGGACATTGTCGTTCTGGTCATTTACCAGTCAAAGTGAACAAGTTAGCTGATAAAGGTATTGTTAGTCGAGCTGAACATATGTGAATAGTAGACTGATATTTTCTCTTTTCTCTAGTACAAATGAATTACAGGAACTCAGTTGCTTTGAACAAAAGTCATGTGATTGTTTTTATCAATCTTGTTCAATCATTCAATTGATCATTTTTCAAGCATCTATTAGATAAAGAATGTTATGTGTGATGCGAAACTTTACCTTTCAAATATTAAGTTATTTATGATGTTTAAAAAAAAAATCTTAATCCTATTGTCACACAGTATTGAAATAAAGAGGTACATTCAATTTGAACGGGATTACTAGCATTACTCATAATATCAAAACATATTTATGAAGTATGCCTGTATTCAAAGTTATATACGAGGTTTCTAATGCATTTCTCGACTCAAGGTTATATTGTAGACGTAAGCTTTAATTTTCGAAAAGAATACTTTTATTCTAGGAAACCAAGCACAAATTCAAAGTAGGTGACCAGGAAGATAATAACAATACAGAAGACAAACGTGTATAGGAAGAGAGTGAGAACAGATGAACTAGGCTGCGGTAAAATGTTCTGAATATTGAAAGTGATGATTAATGAATATTTTTGCAACATTTTATCACGAGTCAAGCAGCCACAAGCATAGCCTAACATTATGACAACTGTTAAAATTAACGATCAGAGAATTCATAGATTGTTTTCATACCTTTATCTTACGTTTCTTGTCTGTATATTCTAAGCCGAATCTACTTTGGTTAACAGGGTGTGTCAAAGTAGGTGGAGGCTCAATTTTGTCTCATAACTTACAGTAGCACAGAGCGGATAGACGCGTACTTTCCTCTTCTTTCAACAGTTGGGGTGATATTTCATTGTCTCTGGAGATGAAGAATGTTGGAGAAAGCGAATGAGGTCTCTTATCACAGTTGAGATTCGGTCATCAACCAACTGAATAGGTCTACTGCAACTTCTTTGATATGCGAAATAGTTAACACGTTCTGTTATTTCACCGTCTATCTTTAAATCAGAATTTATCATGAACTACAGTCAAACAATCCTTCTAAATTCGACAGGTAGGAAATGTACGACAGTCGTACTCAAATTTGAGCCAAAGGCTTTTGCAAGTCTTTTCATTTCATCAGATTATTGTAAACTAAGAAGGCAGTTTCGCTGACGCACTCTAAATCAGTCATATGTCCTCTGAGTAGTGAATCAGTACTTGAGAATAGATGATATATAGGGTCACATCTATTAGTACACCTATCAAAATGTCCAATACGAATGGCAACAATAAACACCTATGGTAAATATCTCGATTGTTGTTGCTGTGACCCTTAACTATCCGTAATTACCAACATCCTTGTTTCACTAACCACTCTGTACTCTCTGCAGAATCAGACACTAATGCAACAATTCTCAGTCAATGAGGGTGAGTTGAACATATGAGTTAAAGACCGTAACAAACGTCAAGCATGAGTAACTGTGTATCTGCTAGCTGAAGACATGATCACTGAATCTTCATGTTTGTTTGGAACCTACCTGATTTCTAATGCGGTTCCTTGCTTTATATCTCTATTCATGAATCAAATCCCAATGAACTCTTAAATACTGGATAAAAAGTTATTCAAACCGATTCTTCGTTGTTGCCTGGAGAGGTTATATGGAATCCCTACCCCTTCGAGATAACATAACTGATAACCGTTTATTGTGTGCAAGTTTCTTTGATAAGTCTTAGTAATTACTAAAGTGTACAGACGATGATATCTTCCCTTGCATTTTCGCTACACGGTAATTCAAACGATTACCACAAACATTTTTTGTCACTTTGTCTTTTAACACTTTCGTTCGTCATCATCATCGAGATTTCGTGAATCCATCAGTTCAGTAGGTCATACGAATTCCACATTAGTCTACCAATGAAGCGTTATATATACCACGCCAGTATCTGTGTCCGATCATACCATCATCCAAGAGACTTTTTCCGTGTGCTAGGACGTCACAGAACAATTGTTACAGTCAGTACGAACCATTTGGTCGCTCAGATATGCAAACATCATCACCGAATTGTGGCATAAGCTGGCAGTTGTAGTAATACCATATAAAGTGTGTATTGTAAAATTTGCTAGGGATGACCACAGCAATGAAGAAAGCGGAAGGATTAGGAACTCCTCTTCTCTATGACAATGTAAACAGTTATTCATACAAAGAAGTACCTTGGTGACTAGCAGAGGAAATCAGGACACGCATTTCGTCCTATTTGAGACTCGTCAGTTTGATGTACTTGCATCCCAGTGGGTGTTGTTTCCACTGAGACTCGAACCAGGTACCCTTCGCTTCATTTTAACAACAACAAGAATTGATAGGTGTTGAACAAGAGGTAGCCATTGCACCCCAGTGGCTAAGCAGATAACACTTTGATGTTTAGAGTGAGAAGCACTGGGTTCGAGCCTCAGGAGGAACAATACCACCCACTGGGGTATAGGTACGTCCGGCTGACGAGTTCCAAATAGGACGAAACATGAGTTCTGAATTCCTCTGCTAGTCACCAAGATCAATAAAACATCACGAATATCCAACAATGTCAAGGTATCCGCATAGGAGCCTGCCTGACAACAGTGGTCCAGCAATTCGAAACTTTTTAGCAACGGGAAGTTATTAGAATCGTTACAATAGTACGAAGAACATTGCTTTGTTCGATTCTCAATGGCAATCAAATTTTATGAGTATATCTGTAGAGTTTTTGTTTGAACAATTGATTAAACATCTTGGTGGAGTATATTTTAATGCTAATTTGCAAGTCGAATCTGTAAACCAGCATGCAATCAAATGGATTGCTACCTGTATAACCTAGCGCTTGCATTTCTGACTCCAAATCTAAGTGAAATGTGTTAAAGATTACTTGTTCTTATCAATTTAATAGCAGTTACTAGTGAACATATAAGAAACAATAGCTCCTTTTGGGACTGTTAGACTCAGGCCGAAGTGCGTAATGTTCAGCTATGACCATTGAAAATATTTTTCTCAAAGTTTGTATGAAAAGTATTTGTCAACAGTATTAGAACCTTTCTCATAATCTTTTCATTTCTGGTTGAATGAACAGTTCACTAACATCTTTACTGTTTCGGCATTCATTTTTAAGTCAAGTAAACCACATACAGCTTTTGGCTTACCATTAGTCACTTGTACTTCTGTTAGTACAGTTAGGATAACCGATTGGTAATCAACAAATGGCATATTCAGAATGATGAAATGTATTTGCAGCGTACTTAAAGACCGTTTATAAAGAATCCTGAGACATTTTAATTTGTTTATTGGACGCATTATACAGTTTATTATCAGTAGTTAGGTCAAAATGATTTCAAAACTTTACAGTATGGTTTATTTAGCTGTAATTCTCTGTTACTTCATGATATAGGTAGTGGAAACTGCCAAATATCTGAGACAGATGCTGTCATTCCTTTTGGATGTACTTATGTTCGTTCAATAAGAAATGGTCCTAGGTCGGCATTTATCATGAAGTGGAATCATTTGAAGAACCAGTGAAAACCCATAAGCACCAAACAACTGTTCCATCGTAGCATTGAACTAATCAGCAACACGAACTCATGACCTCGCAGGGATCAAATCACAACCTCCAGGTTCTGTCTCAAGCAATTCACCACGTGACCTCACATCCGACTTCGTTCACCCCGCCAGTCACGACTGTTCATTGGGACTTCAAGAAATCTCACCTAGGACGCGTCAGTAATGAGTATGGGTGAGAAGTCCTACACTAGGATGAAACAGCTGTCCAGTGCTTTGAGGTTTTCAGTGGTTCTTCAACTGTTGTGAGTTCATGACGAATACTTCCTTGAAGTCCCCATAAACATACAAACTGAAAGAATGATTTGCTTATCAGTTTACCCCCTAAATAACTTCTCTAGTTTTTAAAATTGTCCGTCTGTTCCATACTATTGCGCAATTATGTTTTTACTTTAATCCTAATCAAATCTATCAAAGGTATCATTTACGTCCTAAATCTTTTCACTGGAACTAAAGACTCATATACACTTTTATCGGTTCACTTGTATCTATGTACTTTCAAGAATAAATCAAGTATTATGGACCCATTCCCTTCTGCGCACTTGAGAGAGAAAGCATAATAATTGGAGCTGTTGGAAACATGCTGCTTTAGACCACTTCCGACCCGCCCGTCTTCTAGGTTGAAGCTCCTAGTTGATATCGGTTTCGTGTTCTTTCGGCATCATTGGTAATTTAAACGTATCCAGTAGAATGTCGAGTGGTATGGTCGAATTTGCTGGTTAGTTAGCCTTTCTGTGACACAGCTGATTATTGCATCTTGCCTATTTCACCTGATCCTAAATCACACTCCTGCGTCTTCCATGACAACACCGACGTGATGGTAACATTGAGTAGTGTGGGATACGTAGCTTCCTTCCCATTAAAACCATCGGAGATTCGCGATCTGGTAGAGCATCATTTGGTGCTAGGTGACAGATGAACAGAAATCGTTGTGTGACATCCGTATCCTCTCCAATTTCTTTCAATCTTTGGGTGAAAACGCGGTGTTCCAGCCCATCCCGTCAATAGACTGCAGCGGTGGGCAGTAATCTTATTGGGCTACAATTTCAACATTAAATTTAGCCGAATAGAAAACTTTGAACTTGCAGACACACTTTCGAAGCTTATAACTGAGTGTCCTACCAGCAATGAAGATACGGTGATTTGACCAGTATCCACGAACGATTATGCAATACAATATTTATCCAGTTGGTCTAGATCAAGCTGTCAGAGAAGAAGCCTAACCTTCCACGTGTCGTACTGATTTTGCAAAATCAACTCTGAAAAGGTCCTCACTTCATCTAAACCATGTGTCAAAGGTGACGTTTTGCCTCTGGATTGTACACAAACTCGAAACTAATGGAATTAACTGCATCATCAGAAATAGGATTGGAGGTGGATGAAATGACAAGCAGAGCAGCATACAGTTCCCCTGTCTTTAATTGTTTCTCCACTAACGTTTCTAATCACTATGGATTCATTTTTGGAACCTACGTCAGAGCGAATACAAAGCACACGGTTAACTGAAAGCTAACTTCGTACGGAAGACCCAGTGACTCCATCCCGAGACTAATGGAAGTAAAAATGAACTGGGTCGAAGAATTTATTCCTTCGAGAATAATAATTAATGTTTTATGCAAATCTGGGGCCTTCCAACAGTCTGCTTAGGAAACAGATTAGGTGATGATGCAGTAATATAATGAATCTAACTCAGGAAAATGATCATTTACATTTTGTACAAACATGAAAACGT